GGAGATCTCACATCCTCTAGATGCTAACTGATCTCCTAATGATATTATTCCATTTCTTCCATGATCATCATCTATGTAAATTGCTGTAACTTTTCTCCATTCGTAGTACTTGATTATGTCTGCTATTGCAGCCATTTGATAAAGATCACTGTGAGTTGTGCGCACAAAGAAAGGATACTGAAGGGAATTCAATGTAGGATCAGTAGCTGTGAAAGACAATAGAGGAACTTGGAGCTCATTTGCCACGTGGGATATCACATGAGCTAAGACTGAACCTTGAGGGCCTATTAAAGCCACAGTATCTGTCTCCATGACTTGTAAAGCTGTTAACAAAAACAAGTCAAATCGCATAAGATTATATTATTGTATACAAATGGGAAGCTCGATTAAAGAAAAGTAAGAAAATGTTTAGAAGATTTACCTTCCATAATATTCATAAATGCACTGAAATTGGAGTCATGAAGAGTTATTTGCAGCTTAGTTCCCTTAAGAATAGTGGGATCAGAGTTCACATCTTCACATGCAGCCTGTAAAGCAATTTTTGCGACTTTTCCAATGATGGAATTAAATGTCAAGATGGATGCGATATTCACGACATCTGGTCTTGTAGAAACATTGGTATTATTGTTAATCCCTTCAGTGAAGCATCCATTGAAATCCACCAGTAACAGGAGCAATGCGCAAACTAGATTTTTTGGCATTTTCTCTTACAAAAAGGCTGGTTTCATACACGCTGATACACAAAATAAAACAAGAGAATTTTACTTTCAGTTGTCTAGATTGATCAAAGCCTCAAGAGCGTGTTTCTATGGTATGAAAAGAGCAGGGTTTGATGTAAGAAAACAGTGAGAAAGCAATGGAGTAAACTTTTGACCAAGTTAGGTGAGATGGTTGCTAGTTTTGTGCAAAATTTAGTTTACAAGTCAAAACTTTAGAGGGTTGTGTCTTGACCAATTAGCACGAAAGTATTAAAGAAAAAAAAAAATCCTCAAAACCCATTTAAGCAAAACATCAAGCACGTTGTGTGTGCAAAAGATTCTAATGTCGACCATAATGTGAAATAATACACACACCCACACACACACACATAGAGAGAGAGAGAGAGAGAGAGAGAGAGAGAGAGAGATTACAGAGAAGAGCAGCCTAAGCAGCCATCCACAGTGAGGCGAAGAAGAGCAGTGAACAGACAAGAAATCAAATGATGGGATTTTGCAGCAGGGGAGTAGTGATATGGCTAAATTCCAAGAGGGTTTCATGTATGGTTTAGAAAATTTCTTGGTTTTAAAGTGATAATGATAATTATCACTAAGGATTCTTGAATCTCGTACGAAAATATTTCCTATTTGTTGGAAGCTTCACGCGTCCTAGATAATTGTCGCTGTAAAACTCATGAACCATATGTGATACAGTCGTCGAACAATTGGGAGTTCTTGTCAAGTGTCCCGTGTTTCATTATCTGATGTTGGATGTTGGATGTTAGCTTATTTTTAAGGGAAACCGAGTGATAATCGATATAAATGTTTTTTTTTTTTTTCTTATTTTTGACAAAAATAAATAAATTTTTTTTTTTGGGTAAAATGATTATTTTGTCAGGTGTTTTTCTGAGTGAAGTCCGGAATCTCGGAATTGTACACCGAAATACATTTTTATTTTTTTTCAAACTTAAAGTGGCTTCATTTTTAGTCCGTTTATCGGTTGTTAACTATGGTTTTTGAATTTAATGGTTGGTTATTTCTAATGTGTTCATTTTTAGTATTTAGTTAGGGTTTATTGGTCATTAATTTTTATATGGTTTTTGAATTTAATGGTTGGTCATTTTTAGTGTTCATTTTTAGTATTTAGTTATGGTTTTTGGATCGTTAACTTATGGTTTTTGAATTTAATGGTTGGACATTTCTAACGTATTCGTTTTTGTGTTTAATTGTGGTTTATCAGTGTTAACTTTTATATGGAAATGGATACCTACATTTTCAAAAAGCAACGGAATAATGTTTTTAACCTTTAAACATATTGCAAAAGGTAATAATTACGTAAACTTAAATATATTTTAAATAATATTACAACCCTTACTTTTTAGGGTTAGGGAAATTATCATAAAAACCCTTAAGTTTTCCAAAAAATAACGGTTTTACCTTTGGATGAGTTTTGGGGTCATTAAAGCCGGATACTTTCATTAAACCTATCAAATATCTCATTTAACAAGTTGGACCCTTTGTAGCTGGTTACCATGTGCTGATTTGGCAGTTAATTGACATGTTGGCACGGACGTTACTTCATTACGTCCGTTTACCCACCACCTAATCTCACCCTTTTGCACATATTCGTTCACTTTCTCACAATCCTTCAGAAAGTCGACATCATTCATCGCAAAATTAGGGCTTATGGTTTTTGAAGAAGATTAGGTTATTGGAGAGTCGATTTCACAGGGTATGTGTAATTTCTTTGAAGATTATGTTTTTACAGTTCTTTGTTCTTCAAAGGTTAACAAATAATGACAATATGTGTTTGTGTTTTTTTCAGGTTGTTATGATGGATTGGGATTCAGAACACGAAGGTAACACAGACCCATTTTTTGGTTTACGCGAGCCTTTCTCTGGTCTTAATGAGATGGATTTTGAGCTTCATGGCATCTACATGGATCATGAACCAGACGAAGAGTTCATTACTCCACTGGATAAGTGTAAGGATGCATTTCTTAATGTGTTACTAACTGATGAAAATATTAGAAACTCTAGTTTGACTAATGATGTAAGAGCACAAGTGTATCATCGTGGTGACTTGCAAAGTGATGAAGATGAAGAGAGCAAGAACGGGTGATAAACAAGTACAGATTACATGATCCAAAAACAAGATGGGACAAAATGGAACCAAAACTTGGTGACATTTTTAGAATGTTACACAATTGAAGTTTTGTATCCAAAACTACGCAGTCCACAATGGGTATCAACTCTACTTTGAGAAGTGTGATAGTACAAGAATACTTGTAAGATGTGGGAAAAGAAATGAGAATAATTATTGCCCTTTTAGACTATATGCCTCATGGATGTTCAATGAAAGATCTATTCAAATCAAGACTTTAGAAGCTAATCATGTTTGTGGTAGGAAGTTCAATCTTGGCTCTATGGTTACTCCTGAATGGATAGGTAGACACTACATAACTAAAATTGCAAATAAACCTAAGGTGAAGCTTAAAGAGATGATTACTGAGATCAGACAAAGGTTTAGGTGTGATGTGTCTATAGGCCAATGTTGTAGGGCAAAGAAATGGGCCAAGGAGCTAATTGAAGGTAAATTGACTGAACATTATGCCAGAATATGGGATTATGCACAAGAGTTGTTAAGATCCAATCCAGGTTCTACATGTAAGGTGTGTGTAACTATCAATCCATATGGGATAAACTATTTTCATAGGTTTTATATTGGTTTCAAAGCTATATGTGAAGGTTGGAAAAGAGGGTGTAGAAGAGTTATTGGTTTGGATGGGTGCTTTCTAAAGGGAGCAGTAAAGTGTGAGTTGTTGACAACTATAGGTAGAGATGCCAATAATCAGGTCTACCCAATTGCTTGGGTTGTTGTCGATATTAAGAATAAGGCTAACTGGACATGGTTCCTTGAGCTTCTAAGGGATGATTTAGATCTTGATAGTGGAAGAGGTTTGGTAGTGATATCATATCAACACAAGGTAAAATTTAACATACTTGTCCTCTACTTAATTGCATAATTATCTTATTACATATTTGTCCTCTATTAAACTAATTAAATGGTTGTCTGGTAGGGTCTGCTTGAATCTGTGAAAGATATTCTGCCTCATGTTGAACATAGGAATTGTGCTAGGCACATTTATGCCAACTTTAGAAAGGCTTTCACAGGTGTGGAGTATAAGAAGTTATTTTGGGCTGCCTCTATGAGTTGCACAGAAGGTGACTTCAAGAGGCATATGGAAAGCATGAAGAAATTGAGCCCTTCTGCATATGAATACTTGATGTCAAAGCAACCAGAAACATGGTGTAGAGCCTATTTTGGAACAGGCTATGCATGTGAAGCAGTTGAGAATGGGATCTCAGAGTGCTTCAACTCAATAATATTAGATGCTAGGAAAAAACCTTTGATCACTATGCTTGAAGAGATACAGATTTATATCATGGACAAGTTTGCTTACATGAATGTGGAAAGTGAAAAGTGGAATTCAAATGTTTGTCCAAAAATTTTGAAAAAAAAATGAATAGATTTGGGAAAAATATGAGTTACCATTTTATGCTTTCTAAAACTTATCTTAATCATTAATTATTGTTACTAACTAGATACTTGATTGTAGGTTCTGGGGAATAATTCATAGTCAAGGGCATGTGTTTGAGGCTAAAAGAGGGTGTGACAGTTATAGGGTGGACTTAGATGATATGACATGTTCATGTAGGCTGTGGGATTTGGCTGGCATCCCTTGTGTGCATGCAAATGCAGCAATTAATTTTATCCATTAAACACCAGATGCATACATCAATGCATACTTCTCTAAAGAGAAATTTAGGCAATGTTACTCAACAAACATTGAACCTATTAATGGCAGTAATCTTTGGGCCCAAACTGAATACATTAAGCCATTGCCTCCAATGTCTAGGAGGATGCCTGGTAGGCCTGCTACCAAAAGAAAGAGGCATGCCAGTGAGAAAGAGAGCAAGTTTTCAACAACAAAAGTGAAGGTTGAAAGAACTACCAGATGTGGTAATTGTTTGGAATATGGTCATAATAAGAGGGCATGTAAGAATGAGAGAAAACAATATGTGCCTCCCCCACCAAAGAAGACAGGAAGGCCAAGAAAATATCCCATCCCCCATGTGTCTACAAGTCATGGTCAACCAAATATCCCAAGTCAACCTTCATGCTCTAAAACAGTGAGGAGGAGTCCAAGAAAACATAACACATTAAGGATGATTCCCAGAAAACATCAGCAACATGAAGCTTCCAAAAGATTAAGGAGAAATAGTATTAATGTACCAAGGAAGATGTTGTGCACAAGGAGAGGTGGTGGGAGGATTGGTTCAGCAACTATAGGTACTCAAGAGAGTGTGGTTCAACAAGTTCCAGTTGTTGATGAGGGTGAAAATGTGATGGGTGATAATGTGGCTCAAAGTGTGGTTCAACAAGTTCCCGTTGTAGAAGAAGGTGTTGTGCAGGAAGTTCCAGTAATTCATATTCAAGATGGTCATATGATGCAAGAAGGAGAAAATAGTCAAGCAAGTGTGATGGAAGGTAGTGACACTTTTGGGCAAGTGGGATCCAGTATTGGTAGGAAGCTTAAATCAATAAATGATGAAATTGAACAAGGTATTGATGCAATTTTAGAAAGGGCTAACTTCACAAACAAAACAAAGTCCAGTCCACTAAATGGTGACAATGAGGTGGAAGATAATCAGTTTATTGAGTTTACTGAGGGCAAAGAGGATGATATTCTCCTAGAGAAGATACAATTAGGACCTGAAGAAATTGCTAGTATGCTAGAAGTTGGTTATAGCATGGCAGAAATAGAAGCTATGCCAGGGGTACAAGTGGAATTGGATGATTCCCCACCAGTTGAACTGGTAAGACCTATTATCTTTTATTAATGACAAAATTGCAAAAATGGTCCATGTGGTATGCATTTTTTTGGGGTTTCAGTCCAAACCTCGACTTTTTTGGTTTTGTGGTCCTTTTGAGCTAGTTTCATTGTGTTTTTGGTCCCTCTGAATAGTGAAATGACTGTAATGCCCTTGAGTTATATATTTTTCATTTATTTTTCATTTCTTTAATCTAAATACTTATTTATTTATTTAACTAATTAAAAAAAAGAAAAGTCTCTCTCTCTCTCTCTCTCTCTCTCTCTCGCGTATACGCAATAAACAATCCCCTTCTTCATCTTCTCCAATCATCCCTCCCAAAAACTCAAAATTTTACTGCAAGAATCAATTATGTGTATGTAACTACATTGGGTTTGATTCCTTGGTCAAGCATTTTAGTGAACACATGGTGTGCACTACAACAAACCTAACACATAAACACAAACATTTACAATATTAAACCAAAATCTTTAAAGCTCAACTACAAACAAGAAAAAACCCCACCAGATCTTTAAGAGCAACACTTCTTCCCGTCTTTTCTCCGGTATTTCTCCGACTCCAGATTAAGAGGGTTTGTAAAATTACAAGAATTTTGTCGGAGAATTGCCTTTAAATTTTGTTAGAACAATATTCCTCTTCATCTTCTTCCTCAGAAAACTCTTCTATACCTCTTGATCTTTAAAGCTTTCAGAACTATCTCTACATGCATCTCCCTCAACAAAAAAACGATCTACTACTACATAGTGTGCTCAGATCCCTCATCGGAAAAAACTTCTTGAGATCGGATCAAAGGGTGCTCAAGCCCAAATCGAATCATCCACTGGAAATCATTTCTAGATGGGTGACGTGCTAAACGAAATGGGTCAATAAAGACGTCAGCGAAATTTAAACCCAAACTTAATTACCTACCAGACATGGAGCCTTTAATGCCGGGTTTTCAACAGCGACTTTAGATCTAGATGTAGGCCTTCCTGCCTTGTTCTCACTGTCAAGTGTGTTCATCGTTGAAATGGCGATAGCGGGGGAGGACGGCTGGTTTTCCGGCGTGTCTTCTCTCAGTTGGTCTAGCTTCGTCGGCGACGGTGTGAGCTGTAGCAACGAAGAGGTGAGTGTTGGGGGTGATGGAGGATCAAGTGGGGTGAAGAGGTTTGGCAGCCTCTTGGCTTGTCGATTAGAGAGAGAGAGAGAGAGAGAGAGAGAGAGAGAGAGAGAGAGAAAGATCCCTATATTTTAATTTAATAAAACATTAAATTAAATAGAAAAACGATTTAAAAAAATATCAGAAGGGCATATTAGTCATTTCAATTTAGGAAGGGACCAAAACCACAACCAAAGTACCTCAAAAGGACCATCAATCCAAAAAAGTCATGGTTTGGACTAAAACCCCAAAAAATCGCATACCACGGGGACCATATTTGTAGTTTTGTCTTTATTAATTAACAATTTTTCTGGTGATTCTTATGACCTAATTATATCTTTTTACACTAGGATGTAAATGATTTCATTGATGGTCATCATTTTGATGATGATGTTGGTCTGGATGGTGGAGCTGAAGGTGTTGGAGATGAAGTTGTTGGTGATGGTGGTCTGGATGATGATGTTGGTTTGGATGTTGGACCTGATCATGGTGCTGGATATGAAGTTGTTGGTGATGGTGATGAAGAAGGTCCTGGTGGTGGAGATGTTGATGATGGTGATGGGCCTGAAGGTGATGGTGATGAAGAAGGTCATGGTGGTGGAGATGTTGATGATGGTGAGGAAAACCAGGGTGATGGTGAAGGACATCAGGTTGTCCCAATGGTTTGGAGGAGAGCAAGGAAAACTTTTGAGAGGATTACCAAGATAAAGCTAAGGAAGGGTGTCTATGACAAAGATGGTGGTGGTTCTTCTTCTATAAAGCCAATCAACTTGGAGTAGTTTGTTAGCAAGAAGGGGGATGGAGGTGTAAGGGGAATGGTATAGGTTGCCACTTTTGTAAACTTTGTTTTTTGGCATTTTGATTGTAGCATGCATCCAATTGTTTATTTTCTTACCATTTAGGTTGCCTTTTTTGTGCATTGTTTAGGCATTTTGGTACAAATGGATGGTTGCTACATATTGGTAGTATGTAATTAAACTATATGTAATGGATACATCCCCTTCTATATTATGTTCAATCTTTTAGAATTGTTACCATTCACTAATTATTTCTGCAATATACCATTTTATTCAATGTTATTTAAACTTGCAAATACACACCAATTGTTACCATTCAGACTTGCAAATACACACCAATTGTTCAGTCTTTTAGAATTCTTACTATAGGGTTTCAAAGCACTCCATGGATGATAACAATGGGCCCCTTTATGAAGTGTAGGTTAAAAGCCCAAGACTTGTCTTTTCCCTATAAATAGTCATGTGTTATTCATAATTAGGGTTAAAAGTTAGGCAAAATGTAGCCGCCACGTTGTGAGGTTTCTTGTAGAGTTAGATTCTTATTTCTTAAGTGTAATTTGTTCCTCACAATTTAATAAATCGAGTGATCATTCAACCTAATCTTCATATTTGTGTTGTTCTTATTTTCCACATCTTGTTCATCAAATCACAATTAGGGTTTTAATCCCAACACTTACCATTCACCAAAACACTTGTTACCATTCACCAAATGTTACCATTCAACAAATTGTACTACAAATTTATACCAATTACCATTTTAATTCAATCTAAAACAATACAAACCAAATGTTACCATTCACCAGTTGTTACCATTCAGAAATTTATACCAATTACCAATTGTTAATTCAATATACTTACAAAACAAACCAACTTATACTCCAGTTAACATCCATACATTAGAAATTAACATCCATACATTGCAAACCAACTTGAATTCCAGTTAACATCCATACATTAGAAATTAACATCCATTAACATCCATACATTAGAAATTAACATCCATTAACATCATACATTAGAAATTAACATCCATACATTGCAATTAGCATCCACACATTACAAATTACAATCCTAACATTACATATACCTAACAAACTATAAAATACCATCAAAATCTCAAAAGCTACAAATTTATACCAATTACCATTCACCAAATGTTACCATTCAACAACTTGTGCTACATATTTCAAGATCACAATACTGCTCCCTTCAGAAAAGCCACCCTTTACTGCTCCCTTCAGAAAACACCCTTTATTGCCATTAAATCTTGCATAACACTAGAACAAGGATGAACAATATAGCCCCTAACAAAACAACAACCATCTGCATTAATGCCATCATTTGTCGCTGCTCTGTAATGCGATTTGACTCTGGCATCATGTCTTGCTTTTGAATTTCTTCATCGTCAACCCATCTGAAAAACCCACAACCTCCTTCTCCCTACATAATTAGGTTAGTGCATAATACCCTTACTGCAATCCTGCTAAAGAAAAGGGAAAATGATTTTTACCTTATAATTAGGGCACCCCCAAAATTTCTTGCTTGGATTTTCTGGTGTGCACGAAACAAACACATGGCATAAATCTTCACACCAACACTTCACTTCGATCTTCTTCTTGAATCGTGAATGTGAATGCGAGCTTGATTTTGCAGAAGATGTTGGCATTTTGCGTGGGAGAATATTTTGCGTAGGATATTGCGGTGCGAGAGGATGCAAGAAACAGGGTGGTAGGGAAGGGTTATGTGGGGAGAGGGTTGGGGCCCACATTGTTTGACATGTCAATTAAGTGCCAAATCAGCACATGGTAACCGACTACAAAGGGTCCAACTTGTTAAATGAGATATTTGATAGGTTTAATGAAAGTATCCGACTTTAATGACCCCAAAACTCATCCAAGGGTAAAACCATCACTTTATGGAAAACTTAAGGGCTTTTATGACAATTTACCTTAGGGTTATTGTCACTCTAGCCCAACAAAGTTACGTATAATTGTTTAAATGGTCCCTCGTGACTATTTTTTGCGTTTTAAGGGCTTAAACTTGTTGATGACCGATTGAGAAAGTCACCTTACCCATTTTAGCAGGTAAACCTGCCTCATCATTTGCCTCATCACTTGCCATGTATATGTATGAGGTAACTCACTGAGTCAATACCGAGTTGACTCGATGACACATAAGTTGGCACATGCAAATTAGTAATTATCGCCTTTAATGTCCACCAACACCCCCAACAACCTTTCACTGTCGATTCAATTGAGTCCGAGGCACAAATCTTGAATTATAAAGGGACATACGTATGTGGGGTTTGAAGTAAAACAAATCTGAAACTTGTGTACCATTTTCGGGCAAACAATCTTGTGGAAGAACCCTTAAAAAGCAACAATGTCGGCTCCACCACCTTCACCCAACTCTATAAATTCTGGTGAAGACATCAACTACAATGTGCTCCACTCAATCTTCTGTGATTGTGGTCCGAAGATTACAGAAAACCAAACTGGAATGAAAAGGTTGAAGGAGCAGCTAGGACAAGATTATATCATTTGCAGGATTGACCACATCAATCTCCAGCACAAGCTGGATGATCATGATCAGAAGTTTAAAGTCGTTGTTGTTGCTCTGGGTGGCATGATGTTGGGGATGCTCTTGTTGTTGGTTGTTGTGCTCCATTTCCTTGTTAAGCTTTGGTGATGGGTTGATCTGCAGCTAAGGTGGTTAATAGTTAAGAAGGTTATTAGTATGTAGTGTTCGTGTGTCTTAATTTTTTTTCTTTTATTTCTGTTTATTTTGGCGAAATATGTAAAAGTCCTGTCTTAATGACAGGCATTTTGTAAGTGAAATCGAATGATTAATGAAAGACCTATCAAAATGATAGGCGTTTTGTAAAGATGTCTGATGTTCTTTGCCGATTGTTTTTGATTTGAAGATGTCTGATGTTCTTTGCCGATTGTTTTTGATTTGAAGATGTCTGATGTTCTTTGCCGATTGTTTTTTATCTGAATTAGTTCTTAAGTTTGATAAACGGATCCGTTGAAAGTGCAATAGTGGGGGTAATATAGTATTTTACAAAGTGGGGGTCATATAGTCTTTTTTATGCACTGCTCCTTCATATATACCTTCTTGCATTCATTCTAGCACATTGTTTTCTTCTTCAAATACTCTTCACTGTGAAGGTACATAATGAAGAACATGGAATGTGGATGTGGAGCTGAGGCTATAATAAAAACATCTTGTACTACCAATAACCCAGGAAGACCCTTTTATGCATGCCCGAAAAAGGTAATTTACCAGTTATTCAAATTTTGGTGTTAACCCTACTTTTTAAAGATGTGTTAGTTGAAGCAAATACTTGGAATCAAGATGCTTGTTCAGGTTTTATAGCTTGGGTTGATGAAATGGAGTGCAACAATTAATGTTTGATCATAAATGGGTTGTATAAGTCCAAAAAAAAAGCTTCAGATTGAGGTCTTTAAGTTGAAGGTTTACCTAGTATGTAGTTGGGTATTTATTTTTCTGTTTAATCATGTACAAGTTGTAATGAAGGTCAGTTGGACCAGTTGTCTTGTTATGCATCTGTAATGCACTTTGATGTCTTTTGAAACTTGTAATGTATTTTGAAACTTGTAATGTACTTTATTTCCTTTAAGTTGTTATGTAATCTGTAATGTGCTTTATTTAATTGAAGTGGTTATATTTGGGGTTTGATGTGTTTTGTATGTACTAATATGAATAATCAAATTAAACAAAGTTAACACTTAAATCCAACCAACCACAACAAATTTAAAACATAACAACTTGTCCAATTCCAAACTTAATAACCTACTATATCCCAATACCAAACATAACACTCAAATCCAACCAAAAACAACCAAGTTAAAAGATAACAACTAAAACAAAATAAGATCCTAATCATTAAGCTCCAATAAGTTTGCACGTGTTTCCCCTTTCCCATCTTTGCCCTTCACCCTCTTAGCAAGTTTCATCTTTATGATTCTCTATGATTTATTTCTTTTAGATATCCTTCCAGCAGTAACAATTGTTTATCCTTGACCCTTTTACCCTTCGTGCACTGATTTTGCTTCTTGACCATTTTGCCCTTCATTGACACCTCCTGCTCCTTCACCTTTCTCTTTTCCATTGACACATCCTGCTCCTTCAACTTTTTCATTGACCCCTCCTCCTGCTTCACCTTTTCCATTGACACCTGTTTTCCTTTTTTTAACATTTAGTTTGGGCCTCCTGCCAACTTTAGGTTTTTGCACTTGAGGTCTTTTAGCTTGAGGACATGTGTGTGACATCCCCAAAATCACGGCCAGAAAAGACCGGTTTTGTTTATACTTTATTTCAAAATTAGAGTTATCTTTTAATAAAAGGGTTGCGGAATTTGTCCCAAAACAATAATATGATAAAGATTTATCAAAAGCATTTCCATAGAAATGTATTTCATTAAAAGACTCGGGATGTCATGTTCGTACAGATCAAAAGTATAAACAGTACAATATAAGCCTTACTACATTATTTCATATCTACAGGCCTATATCCGTAATCCCTCGTCCAAACATCACACCTATGCTCATGCGCCACTACCTGTAATACATAAAACTGAGTGGGTCAGGCTTGGGAGCCTGGTGAGCACATAGGGTTTTCAACCCACAAAAAATAAGTTTATTAATTTCATCAATCAACAATAACCCGATTACCCGTTCCCGTTATCCTCACTTTACGTCCCTAAACACCTATCATAAGGGACCTAGCCTAAGGATCATCATCGGGACGGACACTACTGCTAAGGGGATTCCTCAGAAATAAATGCCCTAATAGGAAACCATGTGGGGGATGGAGTACACCGGTGAACACATCGTTCACAACACCTACAGGTTGCGAGCCTGCTAGTGTTCCACTGGACTGTCTAGAAGAGTCCGTGGTCGTCATCTATACTCCGCTAGATGACTGGATCAACAACAACAACATCGAGTCCTCTCATCATTTTATCACACATCACCTATTACATCTACCCATGTTTTACCCCAACATTTTCGTAGATATAAAATACATATACAGTTTAAATCATTGAAAACATGTATAACAACGTTCATCTAGCATAGATAGCAAGTATTTAGATAATATGCACACATAGCACGTAATTTATATAAAATACTTCATATCTATTGTAAGTTGAAAGTAACTATGCACTCACCTGATGAGGTGGTGACTCAGCACTCGGACAGCGCTTCGATACTCTCACAACGATTTTCCTTTGATAAAACCTAGTATTGATACCACTAGGGTTTAGTCTAATGATAACCGCGACAAATTAATTATCTGACTATTATTATTATTATTATATAAGCGTTAATAACACTCAGTATAACTCATAATAATAGCCCAAATAATTATTTTAAGGACCTAATAACATTCCTATATTAAAACATAAGCTAAACTAAAGATAGGATAGGTACATCTCACTTACAGCAGGTTTTTCTCGAAAATCGGGCTTCGCTGGAGCAGCGTTCCCGAGCCGAAAGGCTCTTTTCTCGGGACTCCGGGAGCCTCGGGGCTTCCTTCGGGTGCTAGGGGTTTACCTAGGCTTTTAGGGGGGTTAGGGAGCTTAGAGAGAGAGAGAGTTTAGAGAGAGAAAGAAGAGGGGTGAGGGGTGAGGAAATGAGGGAACCCGACACCTCTATTTATAGGGGAGGATTCTGATGGACTCGCCGAGTAGGGGGGACCTACTCGCCGAGTTGGTCCATGTGGTGGCCTTCTGGTGGTGCCACGTGTCCAATTCTGGTGGTGCCACGTCACCCCTATCGCGTATCAGCCCTCAAACTTAGAAAAATCATAACTTTCGCATACGAGCTCCGTTTTCGACGTTCTTTATATCCACGCGTAGGAAAAATCAAGATCTACAACTTTCGTTTAGACTCCGTCGGCTAATTCTCGACCGATCTCAAATTTAACAGTAGGAGGCATTTAGACTGTTAAATGACCGCGAAGAGTTCATAACTCCTTCATACAAACTCCGTTTTCGTCTGTCTTTTTACCATTTAGTTCCTATGAATGAGATCTTCAACTCTCATTTAGGTCGCGTAAGCCAAAAACCGCTCGAACTAAAATTCGAGTTTCGGGCCGTGCACTGCTAAGCCGAATCTTAGAAAAATCATAACTTCTTCATACGAAGTCAGATTTGGGCGTTCTTTTTATCGATGTTCTTAGTTTAACATATTCTACGACTTTTGTTTAGATTTCTAAGGCTAAAAAGTCTTCTATCGTAAATTCACTATTTACATCTTCCGGTGTCGTGCTGGTTTTGCCGTAAAACTTCGACGGGTCATAACTTCTTCGTTATAGCTCGGATTTCGGCATTCTTTATATGTACGGAAACCTTGAGACATATTCTACAACTTTATGAAGATATATCGGGATAATCTCACACTTTAATTTTGACGGTCATTTTTATTCTTTATTAATTATACATTTATAATTAAATAATAAACAAATAATTCTCATAATACTCAAATATTTCATATTTATTACTTCAAAAAGAGTTACAATAGTTGACCTAGACTATTACATTGACAAAAATGCTTAGCCCTGAAACTCGGGCGTTACAATGTGACCTTGTTATGCCCCACATTTTTACAAACACTGCATGATATTTTTTCCCTGCCTTAGACATAGTGTTCCTTGGTAGCTTCTATGATGCATCTCTTCTTCTGTTAACCTTTGGTCTACCTGGAATTCTTCTCTTCATTGGTGGAAGAGGTGGTATGAAGTCAGTAGG